GGGGAGAATGGAATAATATAAACCAGAAGACCTTGTATCAAGGGTTTTTTTCCTTTTTTTTCCAGCTTTTCTTTATCAGCTGTCTGTGTGCTGTAGAAGAGGCTGTCTATATATCTTGTCTTAATATCTTTGAGTTAACTCCTGCCATGTGGTTATCTCGCCTTCTCATCTTTTTCTCAGTGTATAGATCAGTCCTTGGTTCTCAAGACCCCTTCTGTTCACCTTTGTTCATCTAAAGTGGATCCTGGCTCTAATGTCCAGGTTCTCTCTGGGTTCATATCTGCTGGTCAGTTCTTGTCCCAGAGTTAACCACAGGAATGTCCTGCCTTGTGCTTTCACAGTATCTCTGGATACTAATGGTAGCTTGAATTTAACATCTTTCTTTAAAAGATCTCAAGAAATTCCTGTTGGACCCTGTAAGTCAGTGATTCTGCTCTTCTTGGTGCTAAGGCAAGCAGACCTTCATGTGAAGTAACCAAGGTTATGCAGGGTGACTGGCACAGTTTAAAGTAATGCACATTTGCTCTGACTCCTGATTCACCTGATTCACTTTTTTAGTGCTCGTTCAAGTTGCTTCCTACCAATCAATGTGCATAATTCTTTCCTTAGTTGTTTATTGATTTACTCAATGAATTGAAGTGTAGCACTCATTAGTTGAGATCTTTACACAGTATCTATAAAATTATCTAGATTCCTAGCTAGTACATACAGGCACATTTGAATCACATTCAATTAGTCTAAACCAATTTACACCAGAGGTTTCAGAATTCAATGAAGGTATAGGAAAATGCCCTTCTGAGTACTAATTCTGTTTCTTGGTGCACATGGTTCTTTCACAGTCCTAATTCTGACAAAATGCTAAGAGAAGCCAAATTAATTTTTATTTTGTTCCATTTTTAAATTGGAATCTTTTTTTCCTTCACAAATTGACTGTTATTATTATTCATTATGTGTCCTTTGATGAAAAATGATACATGAAGAATGGTTTCTATTACTGAATTATTTTTGCACATCATGCTTAATTCTGCAAATGAAGCAGATAAAGTCAATGAGGCTCAGTTAAGGACCAAAACTAATTCTGAAAGCTAATTATTTTCACAAGGGAGACTCTTGAAGACTATAAATTAGGAGGTTGCTATTCTAAGTTTTGTCTTCAGTTGAGTTAGTTACATCTCCAGGAGTGAGAGAGAAGCAGGGACAGGCCTGAGTCCAACCTGTTTCCCAGCTGAAGGTCTAGCTGTTCTATTTTTTAAACAAGCCAAAGTACTTTGATGTTGCCTTATCTGCTTTTTTAACAAAAGTGCATCCACAGTACCCCTTGAAACCCAGAAATGAAGGGAGGCACAAGACCCAAAATATTGCCCATTGAAACCTTTTCATTACCTCAGTGACTGAGATCAGCCTTTGTGTGGAGATTTACTTCAAAGACATTTTATTAATGTTGAAAACAGATTATATGAGTCAGAACCACTCCTGGGTTAAAGTCTGATAACCTGTGATCCACTGATCTGGAAATGGACTTGATGGAATAAGAAAATCCAAAAAGCCACGTCTCCAATCTCAAAGTGAGTGTCCTGAGTGATCTGTGGTTCACAGATCCCCTTGGGACCACGTGAGGACCAGAAACATTGTCAGGTCCAACTTTGGAGAGCAATGTCCAGTCCCAGTGTGAATATTGGCCTTTTAGCTGTGTGTAACCTGCTTGTTGACTTCCAATACTGACATTTGTAAACTGTTGTGTATGCTATTTCAGATCATTTTTAGTACAGAAATGCATTTTTCTCCTTCTTTCTATACTGTCTATATGTGTATTTCAAAGAGAATCTGACTTTCCATGTAAAGAGAAATGAAAATATTGTACCAAGCAAGAAAACATTTTAAAAACATGTCTGAATGCATCTGTTCTTCCCTCAGAAGTGTGTGTCAGGAATCTCCAAAGCTGCCTGAGGAAGGCAGATGTCTGAAATCTCACAAGAACCTTTGGTGCTTTTGAAGGTCTCAGGCTGTTATTCATTTTTTTGACTCGTTCAGATTCCGTAAAGACCCTGGCAAAAAAGCTGAACCCAAAAAGCCACTGGGAGAGCATATAATTAATTGAGCCAAGGAAATCTGCTGTATAGTCTGAGGAGTGTGAACAGTTGCTACCTGTTTTGACACTACATATAGTCCTGAAACAGTGATGGCTGAGATACTGATGAGTTTCAGGCAGAAATCATTTTATTCTGAGTTGCCTTTGTACAAGATGGTGTCAATGAAGTCCTAATTCATGATCAGGTAACAATGCAATACAGTAAAATAAGCTTCATTTCTGACTTTCTTTCTGCCTTTCTTCCTTTTTTGTTACTACTTCACTCTTACAGTCTCTCGTCTTCCTATTATTCCTTTTCATCAGCTCGCCAGACAAGAATATTGGCTGAGCTTTCTCTCACACACTCAGCTTGCGTGCTGAGAGGCTGCCACAGCACCTCTCAGCTGTAATGGCCCTTCTGGTGCTGTTGTTTTGCCCTTTTCATTCTGCATTGCGGGAGTCTTCAGGCAGGCCAGGTGAGATCTGTGTTCCTTCATTGTCACTGCTGCCCACAAAGTCTTGGGTCCCTTCTCATGCAGACTTTCTTGAGGTTCTCCTATTCTTCCTTTTCTTGCCCAAATCCTTGATGAAACTATTCTCCCATACTAGATAGCAACATTTGCTAGCTGCATTCTCAGTTATCCATCACATTAAACCTCTTTTTCTGTATAAGTCATCACGTATGGGTTTTTACCTGTACTTTCCTGACCGTTTTGTGCAGCTATCACAATGTGTTAAATGATACAGTGGGGTTGGCTCTTTTCTTCACTTTACTGCCTTGTGGTTGCTTTTTTTCATAGGTTCAGCTGCCTCAACAGCATCAGGATCTCAGAGCACAAAGGAAGATAATTCCTGCAGGGGTATGGAGGAGAGTTGTTAGGTCATATTTGGGACTGGAAATGGCCAGGATGATATTTTTCCCATTATTTCCATGAGCCATTAATGTACAGCATATCGATCTGCATCTGTTGCTCCAGTTTTAGAGATTAAACGCTCTATATAGTCATCAATCTTGGTTATTAATATACTCAGATTCTTAAAGAGGGATATAATTTGCTTCCCAGGCTTTCTTCATGTATTGCACTTCTTTGTGTCACCATCCCTGCTGCTCTGAGCTCAGCAGATGGCTCTTTGTAAGCAGGTGCTGTTTTTTCTTGCTATTGGAAGAAATGTATTTACTGCTTATTCTGGCACCCATTAAAAAATTGTAAACTTTAAAGAGATACATTTAAAAATATAAATAAAATGCCTGTAAGAGTTATTGCCAAATTGATATTGGACCAAAGGCACCTATTCAAGTGATGGGCAGCCAGAAATGAAGTGTATAAGCCAAGAGTATTGAAAGAACCATTAAGAATGTTAAAAAAAAAAAAAAAAAGGGAGATAAATCTCATACTGTGATGAATGATAGCCAAGGAACATCTAATCATATCTGGATAGCATTTACTGAAATAACTCAACCAGACAAAAATGAAGAACATGAAAAAGATGGTGTAAAAATTATTGGAATGTTCTTTTTTTCTGACAATTTTTCATTAATCTTCAAGAAGGAATAAGGATTTATTTAAAACAAATTAAATTAAGTGGTGAGCACTAGAATACAGTTCCTCTTGGTCTTGGTATGGCTATAAAAACACCATGTTCTCAGCAACTGCATATTAAGAGTTATGGGGTGGAGGTGTTTTTTTCCAGTTTTCCAACCACTTCTCCTTAATAAACCGACGTGCAGAACAGCAGCTGTGTCCAACTGGAAAATTGCTCAGTGGTGCAAGAAAATGTGAAATACATGGAACATCTAGCAAATGTACATACAAAAGACACACAACAAACTGTCAACACCATGTCTATAGGCTTCCATTCCTTGATTAATCTATGTGAACTTTTTGCTTTTAATGGCAACATGCCCAGAACTTCTTAGATATAATTGAGTGATACGGAGAAAGTGGCTCTGTGCATATTGTGATGAACTGACTTAAAAAAATGAATGTTTACCAACAGAATGGACTAAAGCTTGACTTCTTCACTGTACAAATGTCAATTTTATTGGATCTTATCTCAGCAAATCATCTTTTCACTTGTGTCCTTTAAGGAGGAATAGCCTGTTTCATGTCTGCTAGAATTCTGTTGTTGTCATCAGAGTTATGGCAACATAATCTAGTGATCTAAAAGCTCTGTGGAATGTCTCTCCCATGAATGAGAAAATAAAAAAGCACGTCTCTCTCTGTGTAACCCTAAGAATAGGTGGAACATACGTTTTGTTTAAGTCACACACTGTAGTCAGTAAATACTTTCAGATTCGAGCTGGTCTGGTATATACTTAAGGATTAAGTATGTACTAAGGATTAGGGAGCAGCTGGCTTGAAACTCAGAGCTGGATCAAATGAAATTTCGTTTTAGGACTTGTAATTTAACTGCAAGCTGGGGTAAGGATTTAAACTATTCATTTTGATTCAGGTATATCACATGTTATGAACATGCTCCAAGATCATGGAGCTGGCCACTTAATGAGCAAAAAGTTGTCATGAGCAAATGAGTGTTAACAATTGAAATGCTTCTCTTTGCTTGAATACTAAACAGAGTTCACTGATGTGCTGTTGCTGGCTGGTCCTGCAGACACTTACACATGTGGGTGTAATGTTCCTTTGGGGCTCAATTCCTTTTTTGCTGCTGGGCCACTGCTACAGAGATGTAACAGGGCACCTTGTTACTATCAGTCATTGCTCACCATACACACACACGTGGGACATAGTACTGGCAGATGTGTTCAGCTTTCAGAAACTCTCTCTATGTAAGGGGATGGGAAATTATGCTCGTCAAGTCTGGTGCTTCTGCAAAATCTTTGCTTTGCATGCAGCTCCATTTCCTACCCACCTATTGACAACCTAAATCAATGATCAAGAAATTAATTTCTTATTTTCTCCTTTTTTTCCAGATTTCAGAAACACTGATCCAGAAACTGAACCAAAACCTGGTCCATTTTGAGTTGAAGCCAGGGGTTCGAATCCTTGTCCATGCTGCCCATTTAACAGCAGGTCAGTATCCTCTTTCTGTATACACCCTCTCTGTTGCTGTGTAGCACAGCAAGCAATATGTTCCTTGATGGTAGTAGGGTGCTATCAGCTGTATTTTAAACATTTTTTATGTCACAATAACAATTCAGTGTACAGACAGACATTAAAATGCCTGCTCCACCTCCCCTTTCTTTTTCATGTCAAAAAGATATAGTGGCTTTTGCACTTGCAGCTAAACCTTTTGTTTACTTATGTGCAAGAATTTGCTGTGGTTGGAAATGCAGTATAAGTAGCAAGTAGAAACCTGTACTTCTTGGTTGTTTCTGAAATACTCAACAGCTAAGCAGCACCACGGCATGTTTGGCCTGGATCACACAGTGCAAAGGTTACCAGTTAGCCTTGGATATATCAGGTATTCTAGATTCAACAAACATTCAAAGCAACTGAGCAAAGTGCAGAAGTTGTCCAGCAGTCTGAAAGACTAGAATCAATTTACATATGCACAAACATAAGATTAGGCAGTTCGGACTTCAACTAATGCTATCTCAAAATGAGTCATCTCCAAAGTCCTGATATTTAATTACATGCATCTCTGTCTATTCTGTATGCTAAACCCCTATTTCACAGCAAAGGTCCTATTTAACTATTACAAGAGATAGGACAAACAAATGCGTGCTCAGGATTCTTAGGAATTCCTTTTCTCCAGGAGCTGCCAATAACTTTGATCAGTCGGTATCAGCTTCTTTTACTAACTTGCAAACTAAAAGTCTCAGTTCATTTGCATCAGCACACTGCCTTCCGAGAAGCTTTTTATGGTATGAACAGGTCTGCCCAAGCTGGTGTCAATCCATGTGCTGCCTTGTCTATAAAGGGAAGAAAAAAGAGACTCTTAACAAAAGGTGTAATGAGACTGCATTTAAGTCCCCCCAGAAGACAGCCTTGGTATTTGCAATATGTCTTTTTCCTAAGCAGAACTTGCTAATATCTGCCCTGGGAATATTGCTGCATGTTTCTTCTTTCCATTAGCTGTGGAACAGATGATCAAATGGTTACTTTTAGACATGTTAGAACCAAAAGAATAAAAAAGCAGAGATGCAGCACAGCTGAGTAATCTCTAAAGAAAAAAAACAAACCACACAACAGCTTGAGAAGTCAGTGTGTTTGATTTTTTTTCTTCTGTAAATTGTAAAAAAAAAAAATGTAACAGACATACGACACAAAATAATTGCGTGACTTTACATTTAAGATTTAAATTCATTTTAGATTTAAATTCACATATACATTTTACACAACAGTTGTTATCAGAGAAGCAATCCTTGACTGGAATTTTCAACTATGACCAGTTTTACTATATTACTTTCAGAATCTGTTCAGTGCCTATCTCTTAAAAGAAGTGTTTCTGAAAGCATCTGAATGTGAGCTTCAAATGTGTAGTTACCTGCAATTGCTCATCATTTTTGAAATTTGGGCATTTACTCTGCCAATGCACATGGCTGTTTTCCATTTTGGTCAATGTTCATTAAAGTCAGGATCAAATCCCAAATGAACATTTAGACATGACTGCTCTCACCCTGAATATCCTGTAGGCCTTTTCTAAAAACCTGTAATTAGAAAGAATCATATTTGATGTTCCTGGGAAAGCCTCATCATTACCTCTTCCTACTGAAGGGACATTCCTGATTTCATGTAGTGAAAACAGGTGACATTTAAAATCATATATCCAGGTCTGCCTTTAATACAAGATAAATTTGGATGCAAGTTTTGTGCCGTATAGGAGCCTTCTGCAGCTTCTTGGAGAGGAGTTCTGGGCATCTCTGCATGAGGGAGGCCATAGGGTCCCCAGCTGCACCATCCATGCTCAGAGCTGGCTAAAAGCTGGGTCGCTCCAGTCCTGAAGCCATAGTTAGTGGAAGTACTGTAGCACTTTTCTGGGCTAGTAAACCTTGTCTGCTGCCCTGAAGAAACCAGAAGGCAGGGTCATCAGTGTGGCATACTGCCATGCTAAATAACAGTATGGCCTCCAGGCACATGCTGAAGATTGTGAAAGAGGAACAACATTGTCAAAGATGCACACAGGTACAAAGGGGGGTTTGCATAAGGTCTGTGTCCTCTGCCTAGACAAGGGATCCTAGAAGGCTGACAGCACAGTCAGAATTTTAAAAATTCCACTATTACTAAAGACAACAAGCAAGTCAGCAAACAAAGTATTAGTCACAGGCAGTGCAGAATACTGAGGACGTCCTTAGAGTGAAGGCAGAAAAGACATTTCAGAGAATAAAAGCAGAGAGCTGGGAAGTGAAGACAGGCAAGAATTAAATCCAAGTTTGCTGCTGGCTTACTACATGGTCTTTAAAAAGCTGCTTGCTTTCTCAGTGAAACAGGGATATTTATCTAGTTCCCAGAATAATAAAGTAACATTCTTGTAAACATCTAAGATGCAGAATGCTTTGCAAATGCAGATTTTTTCAGAAATAAGTAATGTCAGGCTGAGCCTGTATTTGAAGAGTATCCTATGAGATCATCAGTCTTGAATTCCAGATGTTTTGGTTTTTTAATGGATTCTGGAGCATAAGTCAGAGGGCTTACAGGTATTTGTGCCTTCTTCCTGTGGCAGTCAGTGAGTGTCCAAGTGGTTATAAGCTGAGTTCCATGCTAGCCTATGCCGTACTGGCTCAGGGTGAAGCAGAGGGTGCTCGGCTGAGACATGCTATGTAAATATATGATCTTTGTGCTCACTGAAAATGCATATTTTTATTTGTATTTACACACACACCAGGAATGAGTATTTTTTGTCCATAATAGATGCAAACACTCATTTTTCCTGCAAGGTAGGCTTTGGTTGTACTTCTCTTTGAAGCAGCTGGTGAGATGTGAGTGATTGCTGTAACTGGCTTCACAGTTTCCTATAGGAACATTACAGGATTTTGTCTCTTGCAGAAATACGACTCAGTAAGAATGCAAAATGAGCCTGGACTGGCATACTAGATATTAAAAAGCCCAGAGAGCAGCCACTGTGAGGTCTTTGAGGGAATATGGCTCCTTATCAGGCTGCAGAGGTCATGACTCAGCACTCTGTTTAAATAAAAGGCCCAATTTCATTACATCAAAACTTGGGAATAGTTTAGAATTTTACAAAATGCCAAAAGAGAGAATTACTTCAGTGCTGAAAGCTATTGTTTTGGTTGTCAAAGAAGAAGAATTGTCCATTTGAAATCCACATTTTTATGAAAAATTAAATAAATAAAAAAACAGGGAAACCTGGAACACAAGCCAGCACCAGAAGCAGTCCCTAGCAAACACAGTCCAGGGGGATGCACATGGCCCAGAGGTGCTGCTCTGGTCTGTGGTGTCCCTTCTTTCCCAGCTTTTTCACTATGACTCTGTGTTGGACTCCAGGCAGCTATGAGCTATAGTTGACTGGACCACAAAGCTGTGCGTGTGTTTTTGTAAGTGCACACATATGTATACATATGCCTACATTTATGTTCCCATGTCTCAGTGCACATGTATGTTTCTCTGTGTGTGCCTGATCATGCACAGCAGCAATTTCTGGAGCAGAAGAGCTGCAGGGAACAAAAGTGCAGGTATATCTAAACCAGCTTGGAGTGGATGTTCAAGTAGAACCTGTAGAAATGAGCCTCAGTGTGTGCGTGTGTGTTGTATGTGATGATGTGCATTCCCTGGAGCACAGAAGAATGACAGGCGTGGCCTCAGCACATTTCACACCTCTGTGTTCTTTGTTCAGACCACACTGGACGATGGATTAATTTATGGCAATTATGGACAACAGGTTGCAATCCATTCATCATGTTATTCTTCCTCTCATGAAAGAAAAAACAACCAGTGGCCCCAACCCAACAAACAACCTCAACTCTAAGGCAAAGTAAAATATACCACTATTCCTCACAAAGAAGCTAAACAGCTGTTTATCAGCAGAGTCTCAGAGCAGCATTATAACAACAACACTGAGTGCTGCTGAGCCTGAATTGGTGGGAGAGCCACTTTGTCATCCCACAGAACTGCAGAGACTCACAAAATACAGACACAAAGGGGACAGAGTGGAGATGTGTGAGGAACACATAGTAATGAATCGTTTCACCCCGGTACCTTACCTTCCTGAGGACAGCCTGCTTGGTGTGGGAAAAAGTTTTTTCATTTCTCTTTATTAATTTTGACTTTATCAGGCTGGCTGTGACAACTGAAAACGTGTGTGTATGTGATGTGTGTGCCTGAGTGAGCATTTGCTTGTGCGTGCATGTTTTCTTGCGTCTTCTGGCTTTAGTTGAGGCTGAGTCTATTCAGTGCATGTGGAGGAGAGGCAAGGGAAAAGGATGTGTATGACAGTGGCTCAAGTTAACTTTCACTGCCTTGCAGAGGAAGGCACTACGTGTTCTGTGTGTAATGCCAGATAGAGACCGTCAGTGAGGATATAACTGGGGTGTGTGTTAGCTCTGTATAATGGCACAGCTATAGCTGCATGTCTGTCTAGTGTGTTTTATTAGTGTCTGCATGAACAACTAAGACTACTGGACCTATGTGTGTCTCTTTTTTGCATGCTAGATGCTCTTCTGTTTGTGTGTGTGCATATGAGTTATGGAAACTCTGTTTAATACAATTTACTTTGTATTTCTGGGAAGGCCATGCTTCTCTCTGTTTTGTGTGGCCTTATTTTGCAAGGCACTATGAAAAGGTGGTAAGCAAAACTTTGAGAAGAAGCACAGAGAGACTTTTTGTTTGATTAGAGTTGGTACTGATGTGGGGTTTTTTTCTTGAACCTGTGTACTCTCTTGCATGAAAGGTGTGGGAGAGAGAGCAGGGCACCAGGCAAGAGCAGAATATGTTAGTAGTATAGGAAAGGGGTAAAGGAGGAAACTGCGAATGTCAGAGGTGTGAGAAGAGCATGCCGTGATAAGGCATGGATGCTGAGGCAGTGTCTGTGAAGGGCACTGCACTTCTGGTCAAGAAGTAACAGGACTGCACAGAGAACAATACATTTGGTGAGCATCATTGCTACAGTAAAATTGAGTACCCAGTTGCTACTTATTCACAATGTATTGTGAGCTACCCAAACTAGCTTTAAGCAAAATAGAAAGTCAACATGACAAGTTAGCCCATGGTAGCTCCGGGATCGTCCAGAAAATGCCAGTTTTGGTATCCAAATAACCTCATTTGCAACTACCTTAAGTAACTGTCTACAATATGAGACAGTATGTTTCAGGCAGTCCTCTAACAGGCCAGAGAAGAGAGGCCTCTAAGGAGAAGGCTATGGGACTTCACATCAAGGGGTAGGTTGAGCACCACTAGTGGTCTGAACTGAGATTTCTTCCCAGGCGGGTTAAGAAAGGGAGAGAAGCCCTGGAGACATGTGGACAGATGAGGCCTGCAATAAGGGGAGAATGAACTATGTTTCTGGAGGGAGCAACTTCCACTCCAGGCTGGGGGTGCCTCTAACCTTCTCCCCGTCTCTTGCAGCTCCTCTGGTGGACCTCACTCCCAGTCACAGTGGTTCAGCTATGCTCATGCTCCTCTCTGTCGTTTTTGTGGGACTAGCTGTGTTTGTAATCTACAAATTCAAAAGGTATGACCCTCCCTGAGCCATTTCCTTCTCCCCATTGCTGCCTTACACTGAGGTATTTGGGTTGTGTTTTGCTGGGTTTTCTTTTTTGCAGTGATTTGTTTCTTGGTTTGTAAAAGCTGATACTACATCATCTTCCAGAGTACCCCACAATGATGGTTTCTGTTAATGTTTTAGGAAGATTCCTGGCCTTAATATATATGCACAGATGCAGAATGAAAAAGATCAAGAGATGGTCAGTCCAGTCAGTCAGAGGGAAAGCATACCTAATGTCCCTCAAAGTGAGCTGATGAGCCCTGAGCAACTAGTAGATGAGAAGTTGGAAGTCCAGCCCATAGGTAAATAACTTGCAGCATCCCGCAGCTGGTCAGACTCTGACATAATTGGCTAACCCTTTTCTCAGCCTCCCCCCTCCCCATATTCCTGCATACTCCTCCTCCCATCCTCTTCTGCTGCAGCATTAGTTTTGCTACAGGAAACCTTGCTAACTCTTCGCTCTCCCTCACTGCCATGTGATGAAAGGGAGGGGAACAACTTTAGGCTTTTTCTCTCTTCTAGTTGCTCTTTGTAGATCCCCTCCCCTTCTCAAAAATCCCACCGGCACTTAACTTGCGCTATGAGGCAATTTAATTTATTTTGCTGGGGCTGATGTAGTTGCGGGGCTAAACCCCACATCCAGGAGAACTCTCACCAGGAACATGGATGTGAGCAGGTGATTTGGTAAGTCAGATCTAAAAGCTAAAATATTCATTGATGTTTTGACTGCTGTGGCCTTTGTGCTGTGCCAGACCTTGTTGACAGCACCAATGCTAGGCCAGCTGATTCCCAGGGAAATCAAGCAAAACCTGGGATCTCAGCATTGGACAACTGGGTGGGTTTGCCCTCAGGCTGATTTCTCCCACAGGCCTCTGTAGTTGAAAATTTGCAAAGCAGTCTTTCATAGGACCTAAAGTGAATAGACTTTAAGTGGGCGTACTGGGATCAGTCACACATTTGCTCGTGCTTATAGGTTTTCTGTTACCCTGACTACAGTAAAAGTGTTGGGACAGAGCAGGGAGGTTTCAGCCTGGAGACATGTTCTGCTAAAGCCAGCATTGCTTGGGCATTGCTCGGGCATTGCTCAGCTTCACTTGTGAGGTCACAATTCTGCAGGCCCAGACCAGAGGTACAGTACAGGACCCCTGCGAATAAGGGCATGGACCTATTTTAGAGGAATTAAAGTTTATAGCTGTTTTGACTTAAACAGGAGTGAAACATATAACTGAGATCCCTTATTTGCACAGTTTCCTAAGCTTAACCAAACCTTAGATCCCACCTGAGGGTGTCCCTAAAATGTATGGGAGTTTGCTAAAGCACGCTTGGAGTCATAGCTGCGGCAGAGAGGGAGCAAGGGGAAGGGCAATTAAAGGAGGGAATGTGATGTGCTAAGATTGTGGCCTGTGAAACAACATGGGAGGAAAAAGAAGAAAGTCTCTTGATGAAACTGATGTCTAAGCTGGAAGCCCCACTGCAATCAATGCTGATCTCTCCTCACCTGTTCACTAAAGAGAGCTCTGGTAGCTATTAAAAGCTTTTAAGCAGCTATTCATCAGCAGACCTGGACATCCCTGCTTAGCAGAACACAGGATGGAGTGAGGGGACCAACCTTCCCATGTGGTGTTCCCCATACAGAGCAACCCCAGGCCACAGTCCAGAACCCAAGGAAAGGAAATGCAACCAAGGTAGTCTGGACAGAGGACTTCCAAAAGGCTTGTGGATCACCAAGAGGTTTCAAGCCAAGACCCGGAGCGGTGGGTCCTAAACTTTAACAATTCTTTTTTTCTTTTTTTTTTTTTTTTTTTTTTTTTTTTTTTTTTACCCCAGAAGCCTCCAAGGCAAAATTGCTGTAAGATGCTAAGGGAGAAACACCCAATTTCAGGTCAGAAACTCTCTTCCTAGAGTTATATGGGCTTTGAGCTTCCACTTTCTAAAAGAATGTAATGTCCGTGATTCATGCTGTTCCAGGGATAGGGAACACATTTTCACAGGTCACTTTGAAGTGGAAAGAGTCAGTCTCCTGATATCTCTATTCAGTGTACCTTCAAAACTGTTCTTGCTGGTGTTGGTAACTAAACCCGGGAAGCCTCTAGGATAACAGCAGTCAAAAGCTAATTTTGGGTGTAGGTTTTCATTTGGTGCAACTATAGCATTTCTGGCTTTGTACAATAGCCACCATTTTGTGTGCTTCTCAGCTGTGCTCCTGGACACTGTATTAAACCAGAAATTGGTCTTTTATAACTCTTTGGTTTGCACCTGTAACTACACTAGTGAGCACAAAAGGTAAATGTGTGGAATACATAGACTCAATTCTCTATCAAAATGAATCAGTCCAACACACTTCCTAAGAGTGTTTTTCTATCCTGTCAGTGAGATGAATGAGGAAACTGAATCAGCGCTCATTGACAAAATGAAAAGGTCTGGACCTAGGTGTGAACAGAATAGAAAGTGCAAAGGCTCTCCACTCTTCGGTATAACCACCTCGTCTGTTACTGGAAATCAGCAATTTCTTTTTTAATGAGTTTGCTTTCTTTTGGGAAAACAAAGCAAGACTGTAATTGGGTGTTTCTCTTTTGTATGCTTGTTCAGAAGTCAGGCTTTTTAAACCCCTTTGACTAACAATCAGGGATCCTTCCTTGGAGGAATCCGAATGAATGTCCCTGGATCATTTAATTTTCTTTCCTAACTCTGGAAGCAAAAAAACACAGTTCCAATTTTCTGGATATGCGTGGTTTAGGCTCTTCTTTTGCAAATGCAAAGCTTAAGGTTATTTATGAAATCTCCAACACCTTATCATTGCAAATGAGTTACACATTTCCTCTGAAGACCTCAGTCCCACCTTCCCTCTACCCCTCTGCTCTGGCCTCTCCCTTTTCTGTTCAACATGGGTGAATCATCTTTATTAGCAAAAGAACAGGACATCACCTTCAGTGTTTTGAATGACAAGAAAACATTCTGGGAAGAACATGTCAGTCTGGAACAATTGAATCCCAAAGGCCAACAGGGTGATACCTTCAAACATCTTCCTTGGCTAAATGCACTTGTTATTTACTGACTCTTACATTTTTCTTTCTTTGCCACAGGAAGTATTTCCACAGCTGCTGAGCCCCAGAGCACAAAAGAAATCCCTACCTATGTAAATGGTTGAATTGAGGACACCGATATATGTCTATATCTAAAAAAAGAGGAGAGCTTACTGCATTTGGACTTTTTAATTCTTCAGATGACAAAGGGTTTTTAGCTTTAAGCCTGTGCATGTGGACATTATACTGAGACCATAGTGGAACTGCATTGTACAGGTGTTCAATTTTAGTGGGGGGTGGGGGGAGAGGAACTGGTACCACTATTCACTTCTACAGCCCTTCCCCTCATCCCTCCACTCTCTTTTTTCTGATCTGTCACTAATTTGTAGAAAACTCATAATGATATAGGCCAAGAATATGCATGGGGGTCTCTTCTTTAGGGAGAGGTGTGGGCTGGGATGTGGGGGGAGAAGGGCTGGGGCTGTCTCTTAT